CTGTGCTGCTACCCAGCACTGAAACTCTCTCATTCGCAACAGCCCCAATGGGATGACAGACACTGCCAAGGCCATCAGCCCTAGAAGACGTAAACACAGTCTGAATAGGACTTTTTTCCCTCTCTGGAAAAGGGAGAGACAACCACGAATTGACCTGATGCGCTCCTCTGATAGAAACGCTTGATACAGGTCTGAGTTCAGCCTGAGACCCAGGAAAATTATTTCTTGCGTGGGCACTAAGCAGCTCTTCGTCTCGTTTATTTTGAAGCCTAAGCCTTTTAAATGAGACACAAGCAGATTTGTATCGATCTCCGCCTGCCGCCGTGACGGAGTAGAGAGGAGGAGATCGTCCAAATAAGCTGACACTCTGAGACCCGCTATTCTCAGCGGTGTTAGAGCCGCCTTGACACATTTTGTGAAAGTTCTTGGGGCAAAAGCCAAACCGAATGGAACTGTCAAAAATTCGTAGGCTGTGCCCTGATAGGCAAACCTGAGGAATTTTCTGTGTGCCGGATAAATACTTTTGTGAAAATAAGCGTCCTTCACATCTACTGATGTAAACCAGTCTCTGGGACAATCCGAGCTGACTCCCCTTCTGCTGTTGACATTAACACACTGTTGAGAAAAGATTGAACCCCATTCTATCGTAGATAATACCCAAGGGTGTACTGCGCATGCGCGCCAACTCTCCGCGTGAGCAGAGAGCGCTGTAGCTCTCGCTCACTGATGGTGCGGCGCTATGATCTAGCGGCAGATCTGGGGGTTGCAGCTCTGATCTGAGAGTATTTGTGTGTATTTTTGTTTTTATTTTCACACAAATCTGTGCCCTTGGCCCACTAACTGGATGCACAGTAAACATTTTTATTTCTTTCAAATGGGAACACGTGTAAACCTTCGTCCTCTCTCTTGCATAACCCACCTTTATGAGAGTCTTTAGACAAAATCATAGACCCGCAAGCACACGGGCGAGAGGGATATTTTCCCTTCGCTGTGCCACTGGATGGGCTCGCAGTCGCCATAACAGAGATGAAAAAACTCCGGGAGATTAACGAGATCACCACAATGTGCCTCTCGATATCGGGTCTTACAGCAATTATTCCCTTAACGTGAAGGAATAATTGAGAGAAAGGAGCTGTAACTGCTCGATAAAGAAAATGAGAATCCACCTTGATGCGCTGGTCACCACCACAAAGATATAGATATAGCAGAAAGAAAATATTCACTTTGACAGATAATATTTCCCCCCCAAAACAAAAAGCAGCTGCGTTCGAGGATCTGCTGAGGATAGCTTCCAATAAGGATCTTCACGGGGAAGAGAACGAGAATGATGTAGGGACCGCTAGCAGCGATATATATGAGGGAGGCGGGACTCCTGCATCACTGTCGTGATTGGTCTGTCAACCGACAGACATGGTGTAATTGGTGCTTCCAAGATTGGTCACGCCCGAGGCGATTCCCATAGTGAGATACCGAACGAATGTTTGAAAGAGAACTCATCAGAATGATAAAGGACAACAGGACACTAAGGTCATAGAGTGGGTGGGCATATCAAAGAGCAAAAAGAAGAGAATGTTCCTGTGCTGAGGCTTCCTCCATCGATGTTGTGGTCTATCCTTGCACATTATGCCTCCAGCACAAGGATGATCAAACAAGGTCTAAAAAAAAAAATTGAACAGGTCTGCAGCAAATCCAACATGGACAACTATTAATTTATAAAAATGAACTGCCAATTCTGGATTGCTGGAAATGTGGTGTAGAATGCTGAGACTTTTCTTAATAAACAAAAATGAGAATGCAAGAACAGCTGGTTTTGCCATACTATGCCAAAACTGTAACTATTTCAAGATAATTAATGTATATCAATAAATTACATATTTTGTTTTTTTTAAATTGCATGATTGCACATTTTCTTTATTTGTTTTTAATATCTTTTTACAGAACATTAGAATACTGTACTTGCCATGGACTGGTCATTCAAAATATACAGGTCTATCTATTGTGTTAATTAAAACAAACGTTTCACTGAAATAATTTGCAGTTCATAAGAGCTTCTGTAGCTGATGGACAATTGAGTATCTCTGACTGGAAAGATTTGAGGGCGCTCTTCAGTGTCCTCTTCTGGTTGCTCTGGGCTTTGCTCTTATATTTCATGCTCAACAGTTTATCAGCCAGATAGTGCAGCCACAACACGTTAGAATGAGGATTATAGTTGGACCAGCAGTTACTGAGACAGAGCAAATGAGAAAAACAATGAGAATCAATCATTCAGTGGTTTAGAATGAAAGAATTTTAAATAAGTTTTGTCTAAGGCTAAAGCACATACTTGTTTTCTTTCTTCATTAGACGGTAGATTTCAAACTGATAATCTCCCTGACCCATAAACAACTCCTCATCATTAGATATATCACATGACACCGTCAGTCCATCTAAAACAGAGAGAGACAAAACAAAATGATTTCAAAATTTACTACATTTTCCTATTTATTTGTATCAGGCTGTAAAAATTTGTTCACCTCTTACCAAAATTTTACTCTTCAATTTTTACCAAAATATTTGAATATAGTTAAAAAAACAACAATAACAAACAAACAAAAAAAACGTATGACTGTTTTATAGACAAACATTAAATAAAAGTAACATTAATTTAAACAAAACATGGCAGGAATCAGGGTTGCAAATTTAGCCTAAATATAACTCTCTTAAAAGGATAACTTTGTCAATTTTCAACCAGCTTTGTATTGTTATGGTCAATAAATAAAAATGAACAATTAAATGAACAATTTGTACTCTTTCTCCATGATACTTACGCTACCTTCATTACAATAACAAACAAACAAAAAAAACGTATGACTGTTTTATAGACAAACATTAAATAAAAGTAACATTAATTTAAACAAAACATGGCAGGAATCAGGGTTGCAAATTTAGCCTAAATATAACTCTCTTAAAAGGATAACTTTGTCAATTTTCAACCACCTTTGTATTGTTATGGTCAGTAAATAAAAATGAACAATTAAATGAACAATTTGTACTCTTTCTCCATGATACTTATGCTACCTTCATTAAAGCAATACAAAGCGTGATAAAAATCTGCAAACATGTCCTTAAACAGCTAGCCAGTTTGGGACCAAATATTGATTTGTAGTTAATATATGAGAAATTTGCTAATTAACATTTGTAAAAACTGAAAGAATATTAAAGTCTGCTATAATAAATTCTACAGACTGTCAAAATTATGTTACTGCATGATTTTAATTGTTAGATGCAATGGAGAAAGTCAAGGAAGGTCTCTGAATTCAGGACAAAACTCACAATTTTATGAGTGAGGCTAGGAAGATTATTAACATACATGCAAAGGACAATTTAAAAAAAATAAAAAATACTTTTCAAAACAAAATCACCTTCTTCATGTGTTCTTCATTCTTATAACTATAACACACACTTCCATTCACCTCATTTTATACCCAAGCTAGCTAAGAAAAAAAAGCTGCATACTTGTTGAGCCCAATGAAACCGTCTGTCTTGTTAAACTCCTTCGTGTTAAGGCTGCTCAGCTCTCTGTAGAGACATTAGAGATGTGTATGAATATTTACACACCATTACATTCAAATGTACAATAGATTTGCTGAGCTATGCCAGACTTCCTACTTGGAAATGATGATTTCATGGAGGATTTCACCAAATGTTTTCTGGTGTTCACCATTGACCTGCTGACTGCCTTCTACTGGGATGATCTACAGAAATTACATTCAAACATCACTTTTGTACAACCATTTTTGTAAGTTTAAGAAATAACAATAATACCAAACTTTTAAACTTCACCAAACAAATGACCAAACTTCTATTCCTACATATATAGATGTACATATAAGTTCACAATTTATTTGAAATAGTACATTTACATTAAAATCACCCTGTGATATGTCAGACAGTAGTTAGTACGCTCCTACAATAAAACCATACATGATTAAATTGTGCACTTACTTTGAGAGCAACAGTCTCGTTGGACTCATTTATACACCAAACAAATGACCAAACTTCTATTCCTACATATATAGATGTACATATAAGTTCACAATTTATTTGAAATAGTACATTTACATTAAAAATCACCCTGTGATATGTCAGACAGTAGTTAGTACGCTCCTACAATAAAACCATACGTGATTAAATTGTGCACTTACTTTAAGAGCAACAGTCTCGTTGGACTCATTTATGGTTGAGAAGACCTCTCCAAACGTCCCTTCTCCGATCTTGTTGCAGTGTTTCATGCGAGCTGGAGGGATACAGTCACTGAAGGAAAGTGGGCCGCTCTGCTGACATTCCTGATACACTTTTTCTGCATCACTTATATCTTCGTCGTATGAAATCTGGACCATAGACAAAGGAGGACCGTGAAAAAAAAAAAAAGAGAGAATAGAGACAAAAGAAATCAGTGAATGTGTGAGAGTATACTCACTCTGGATAAAAAAAGTTAAAAAAAAAATTTAAAAAAAAAGTTCTATACTATGTTATACCATATTACAGTTACATTTTACTGTAGACATTACATTAACTTATTTTCGGTCAGGACCACTATCGTCAAAGATGATTGACGATTAGCATACAGTTTGGATTGGTGGTATGGTTCTGTTCTGGGCAAGAACTCCCTGCGCATCCATGCAGCCTAGCATGCCCCCCCCCCCATATTGAGCAATGCGAAAACTGCTGAGGTATGGTTCGGACCTTATATATTAATGCTTAGATAGGTGTCGTATTCCTATAGGTAAATGGGGATCAGCTGAGAGTCAGCTGATGCGAGCTTGACTAACGTGACCTGCCAGAACTAACGCTACGTTTGATTTTTATAGATAGATTTGTATGTGTTCTGTGTGTTTGAGTGTATACACATAAATATACTCAATTTTTTTACCTGTCTTAGTCCCATCAATACAGGAAAGTTTACAAGTCTTAGGGATACAGTTTCCTTACATAACAATTGTTCAATAGTTTTGAGGAGTGAACACAAATCTCTTTATGTCTTTACCATGGGGGTGTTCATGGTGGACCGGAGCATGCGTGAAGGTGTGAATCTGGATGGTGTGCAGACAGGGGAACCAAACCGGTCTAGACTGTTTTCAGCTGGAAACCTAGAGCCTGGGGACTTCAAATGAGACTGAACCAAGCGTCGAGGGGTGGGAAATGCTGTGGTAAACACACACAAACATTCAGCAATTTATACATAATGGGTGCTTTTAGGAAAAGTGACAAGCACTTAAGGCCATTTGACACGCTTTCAAGTTCTCAAAGAGAGAGAGGTATTAAAACAAAGGTGGCACTGAAAGCTTGCCGCCAATCATGTACCATGTTAAATGCCCCTCAAGCTCTTAAATATGCAAACTTTGGGTAGTTTGGTGTATGAATCAAAGACGTGCTTTATCTAGCCTGCTGTAAACACATACCAGTTTTCTTCTTATGCAGGGACAGTGCTGCCTTTAGTCGGCCCCAGGAGTGTGTTGTGAGTGTGTCAGGAGTGAAGTTGGCCAGGATGGAAGACAGATTCATTTGCTCCATTCTGAGAGGTGTCACAGCCAGACCAATCCCACTGGTGCCCTGCAGCCAGCCGCATGTTGAGTCCTGCATGAACGTACAGAAAAAAAGACCAAGCAGATGAAACACTTGGGTAAAATCTATTTTTTTCTACAAATCAGTGGCATTTTTCCTCTCTCTGAAAAATAACATCCTTCAGCCAAAGACCCACTTTTAGGTTTAATTTACTAAACACAGACTAACAATGTGCAAATGGGGCTGTAAGCGCACAGCCAATCTTCTATAATGACTTTACATTCTACATACCTATACTGAAAAAAAAAAAAAAAAATCTCAAAGTGTTGAAGCATATTGCTGGGTTGTCAGATGTTGGTCTGGGTTACATCATAAAAACTCAATTGTAAAATGTAAAAAAAAAGCACGTTTATAAAACATTTTCATTTACTTGTAAAAGAATTGAATGTATTCTTGACAATGATAACTGACCCCTGAATAAGTGTCAGCTCCAGCAGACAACAAGCTGCCACAGGAACTGTAGTCTCCTGATACAGCCTTTGTTCGCTCTTCATTTTTCTTGCGCTTTCCATTGAATTCTCCAGTACCCCTCTTTGACCAGCGGCTGACATTAAGTCCACTCACGCAAACTTTACGACCGGTGCCAGAACCAGCACCTGTGCGTTCTTTAGGCACAGCAGGTGGTCGTGTTTTGCTATGAGCTGCAGAGGCAGGTGGAGAGACCGGAGGTAGTTGGAATGATGCAGACAAGTGTTGAACAACTGCTTCAGCATTACGGGGAGTCCTATTATTTATTGGACTGTTTAGGATAATATTCCCTGTCTCCTTAAAAGGTGGAGAGGTGGCACTTTCCCTGCGACAGGTGTATGGGGACTCAGTGCAGGGTGCTTTTGTTGGCCCCTGGTGGACAGAAGGATATGCACCCAAGTCAAGACGTGGAATTCTGACAGCAAGGGAAGATAACAGACATTCAGCTTTAAGACGCCCAATGAGGGGCTGGTTTGAGCAAACTGCTCCAGGAAAAGGGGAAGTGGAAAGAGAACTGGAGGAGGAGATATAGAGTGATGATTTGGATATTGAAGAGAAGCTGGATGATACAGTTACATAGGTTTTGCTGTTCTGAGTGGTTGCTGCCACAAAGGACTCCAAACAAACTGAGGCAATCTTCTCTTCCCCTTTCCTGCTGCAGCTTTGCACCATGTCTGAGACATCTGTTTTTTTGAGCATTATGGTTACATCCACTGTGCGACACCTACATATCAGACAAAACAGACAAAACTTAACTGAAACTTTTCATTCAATAAAAACATTTGACAGTTTTACAATACCAGTCAGAGGTTTGAACATATATACTCATTCTTTATTAAAGGGGTCATATGATGTTGCTAAAAAGAACATTATTTTGTGTATTTGGTGTAATGAAATGTGTTTATACATTATAATACATTATTGTTTCTCCTCTATGCCCCGCCTTTCTGAAACGCATCGATTTTTACAAAGCTCATCGGTCAGAAAAAGCGAGGTGTGCTGTGATTGGCCAGCTATCCAGTG